CCGAGCTGCCCCTTTCCAGTCAGCTTTCCTCTCCTTCGCCGGCCGGTGTCGCCTGCGCGGCAGAGCCTGGGCATGGGGCCCGTCCCAGCGCCTCGCGGGGCCAGGCCTCTCCGTCGGTCTGGTCAGAGCCCTCCGCTTCCCGGTTCTGCACAAAGCCTCTCGGCCTCCCGCCTCTGTGGAGGGCCTGGCTCCGACTCCTCGCTGGCCTTTCCGTGGCCGGCTGTGCTGCCCCATGAAGCCGTCTCGTGTCCTGCACGGAGCAGGCCCCGGTGCCTCGGCCTCTCCTTGGAGCCAGTGCTCCAGCACCTGAGCGTCGTGGCGGCCCTGCGCTGAACTCGGGCAGGACTGCTACAAGGTGTTCCTCCTCCTCAGCTGCAGGACACTGCATGTGTCCTCCTTGGGTTTCATCAGGCTCCTCTTGACCCACTTCTCCAGCCTGTGGAGGTGCCTCGGGATCGCAGCTCTACCCCCGAGCATGAGCTACTCACACATCGCATTCATTTCTGCACTCAGCAGGTTGCCCAGCTGGAGCAGAGGCTGGCAGGCTGAGCCCGGCTGTACACTCCGAAGTGGAGGATCAGCGGCTTCTGGGCAGGTGTTTGGAAAGTCCCTCAGACTGTTCTTTATTTCATCAGGTATATATACCCCTGTAGCCGTTGCCTGCATGTAGCTGCTACCACCCTTTTGGCTATGGTCAGAGTTGCACAGCTGTTGATGGTAGTGAGTGCTGGTGGCCTTGTATGGTTTCAGCAGGCTCTTGGTGAACTGAGATTGTCAGTCCAACAGTTTCAACAGGAGCTTATGAGTTCTTGGAAGACTTTCACACACTGCCTTCCCAGCACGTGCTTTCCTGCTGTTTTTCGATAACTGTTTCTCCATCCACATCTGTAGGTACCTATACAGCCCATTCACACAAACTCTCACAAAAGCAGCCTTTACAACACTTCCTCTGGAGTGGAGACAAATGGAAGGAAGACCTGGTAGCCTCTTAAAAGATTGAGGGACAGAATGAAAACACACACTTCATATCATGGTATGTGAAGACAACACTTATTTTCATGTAAGAAGCAGATAGGATTTGCAGACAGTACTGGGGTTGCCATTTAAAAGAGCTCACAACATTTACATTGGATTTATACAGCTTCAGAGCCATAGTGTAGACTTGCAGCCACCTGCAGGAATGGAGAAAGGCTGAATGCCTCTGGGACATGTTGCCTAAAGGCCCGGATGGCACAGCATATACTCTCCCCCGGGACTGGAGAGACTGGTGGATTTAGCTGGTAAATCATACGCACTTTCTGGACCAAGACCATAGCTACTTAGAACAGCATTAGTCCCTTCGTACTGCAAAACAAGCTGCAGGTGGTCCAAGGAGTGTTTCTTACTGTGCTCACTCCCTTGCCAGGGTGAGGCAGCACATCTGGTCAGCTGCTGCCTTTGCAGGGATTTCCTCAAATGTGGTCCTATCCATTGCCACAGGACAACAAATCTGGTTCTGAAGCAGTAAGAGGAGCTTCAGTGTTCAGTCTGTCATGTGGCAGCTCTTCTGCTCTCAGGCTGCTAGCATGAGGGCACTGGTTGTGGTGGTAAAACTGATTTCCTATTAGCATGGGCACTAGCTGGCCATGGGACTTGATGGCCCCAGGACTGTCTGGGCCTGGCACATCCTCTGATCAATCAGAGTGGATTTGTTCAAGTTAATTTATTTGTGCAGGCATCTGTAAATAAGAAGCCAGAAATGCTGATTCTTCTTCGCAGCTGTTAACAATGCTCTCTTGAGTTTTCTGATCAGAAATGCTTTTTTTTCCAGCACTGATCGCTCTCCAAGTGACAGTTCTGATCCAATGTAATTGACAGCAGTTGCCTGAGAGTGCTACTTTGCTGCATACTTTGGGATACAGTTGTGTGGTTAAAGCTGCACTGCTCCGAGGTGCTGATTTTGCTAGTCTGATTTGTGCCGTATGCTTTCCAGCACCATCTGATGCGGCACAGGCAAATGGAAACCCTGGGGAAATTCAGATAACCTCCGAGGGCACCAGGAATCAGATGTGAAATCATGCCACTACAGTTGTTCTGTGTTTAGTTGGAGTGCAAAAGCCAACTAAAAAGAAAGGTCAAAAGAATAATTTAT